AATGTAAAAATATTTAAATTCGAGGTCCATTCCCGCTGCCTTTGATTGGAAATGCCCATCTGCTACTTTACAAAATATTGGTGAAGAAGATGACTTTTGCAGACTTTTTGAGAGAAAATGTGCAGGTTTGTTTTGCAAACTGGTTTTTCTTGTCATGAGTTAAGCATTAGAATTGAGACAACAAAGAAAAGAATATTCGATCTATTGGCATTGTGAGATCCTTCAATGCAGCCCTGTATTTATTCTATGAATTTTATGTCTTTTAATTTGATACGGAAATGCCTAGATTGGGCATTAATTTGTTTCTCGCTTCCTACGATAGAGCTCAACTGCCTATATTGTAATTCTACCTAGCATAGACCATAGATAATCGTTCATAAGAGCTGATTCCTAGTGATTTATTCTCTATAATCCCGTCATAGACAAGGCTTTTGGCCAAAAGAGGTCTTACTATGCATTACTGCAAATGTTCGTTGATACGCTCTCCTGCTTGGATTCCTGTTCATTCTACTAGTTATACCAGTGAATATGCTCAGTTTGTACCATTTACCGTGATCCCAGGGAGTTTCACAGCACCCGTGGCGCTGTAAATGGACTACATTAACATGACTAGTCGTGGTTGAACTCCCTACAGGGAAAAAAAAATCTTCAGTGTTCGTGTTCGCGATTAATTAGCTGCATATATGAGGTGAATTACTTTGAATCAGTGTAGAAATTTGCCTTTCATGACTGCTCTCTCCACTCAGATGAGTAGAACCTTTATGGAGCAGTGTAGAACCACGAACAGCAAACACACATTAGATTATTTTCGCTATCGTTTTTATTGCTTTGCAAAATATTCTCTTTTATCCAAGGATGTGTAAAATTCAGATTAGTGTTTCTCCACCCAACTTAACAGTTTATGTATTTTATAGCATTTTTGAGAGTTTTCAAAAGTTATCGTGGTCCCTAATTGACGCTTCATTAGAATTATTATCTGAGCGCTGCAACTTTGTGTCTCGAAGTTATTTGTCCTGATAGCTAAACATAATTATTCCTGAAAATATAGCAATTTGCATCGAGTTTACTTAAGTCTTGCAATCAGTCGTAAGTCTGGCCCTGTCATCAGTTCGTAACACGTTACGTTTGCATAATTATCAGCAAAACCACATATGTTGAGGTTTTTGATAAACTGGTTACTGCGCCAAAAAAAAACAAAAGTTTTGCGAAACTTCACTAGAATGCTCTGAAGTTGCCAAAAATGTTGAATTTAATGTAAAAATATCGTCACGAAATGGGTCAAAATTCTCTCTAGAAAATATTCTTTCTGTAAGGCGCACAGATGATACGAGAAGCAATATGAAATCACCAATACTCACTTCAGTGATCTGTTTTACTGGAATGTCTATATCATGAAATAGGTTCTCGTATAGAAGGCAACCGGATCAACAAATATTCGAAAAGAATGCAAGCAATCCTCTGTGAGAAGGAGCTCCAGCAAAACAATCTTTCCATGTTTCGCATATTGACAAATGAATTGTCCTTAAACTTAACGATTTGTTTTTATTTTAAGGGACCTCTGTGCCTGCAAAATCTGCAAATTATTGGAAATTTTCCAGAAATATGGAAATGTGCATACAATTTGGTTCGGACCGATACCAACTGTGCACATATGCAACTACACTAGTGCCGTGGAAGCAATGATCAAAAAAGGAACGGCCTTTGTCAATAGAGCCCTACCGTACCTGTTTGAATATTCAAGAGGTCAGAAGAACATTGTTGACATATTAGGTAAAAAGGAATGCTATATTATTCCTAGGAGGCAAGGGACTACTTGCATCTAGTGATGAGTTCTGGCAAGAACAGCGACGCTTCGCTTTGCACACTTTGAGAAACTTTGGCTTGGGCAGGAATATCATAGAGGAAAGGATAATGTTCGAATTTGAGATGACGTAAGAATGTAATTATTATGACCACCGAATAAACAAGCTCATCGTGCATGCTTGGAATAGCTATGCCCTCTTTGTCGCTTTCAACTATCAGTAAACGGAGAATAGAAAGTTGATGGATTAATTGGAGCCGCAAATTAGCGCAATCGTTTTTTTTTTGAATAAAGTAAGTTTATTAAGACCGGAAATTACGATTATTGTAGGACTGCCTTGCAGCAGTAACCAACAGCGCTCCTTCCCAAAACCCTTTTCAGTCGAGAACCTGAATGTGAATAATTTTCACTCACCTATAGCTTGTCAGTTGGAAAAGTCCTACATAGCAGCAAACACCACCTCCCCCTCCATCTGCGCTCTCCATCGCGTCTAAGGAAGCGGCGCCTAAAGTTTGTTTAATATTGCCTTTGGGGCTACTTTATTCTAAAATACGACTTCACGAGAAGAAAGGAGAAGACTCCAAATTTGGCATTATGGATATAGCTCAAACTGCAGAATAGAACACTACTTACCACTGAAAGCGGACTCTGAATCGCTACGTCGGTCCACAGCTATATGCTAAACTCTTATGAGTGTTGTATGGTTCTTCAGGAAATGTAGTCTCTCATCTCATGGTTACTTGATTTTCGCTAGCTTCTAAAAAAAAGTACGAATATTTAAACCATTTTTATTAACTTATTCTTCAAGATTAAAGCAAAAGGAACCGCAGATTAAACAATAGATGAAATTGTGATTTATGAAGTAAGATTTAGGAAACCTTTTTTGAAAAATGCTTCTTATTGCATACTATTAAGATGGCTAACTGTGAAGCTCAAATATTATTGTAAGAAAACGACATTGGAACCTTCTAACAAAATTTTAGGGCATTTGCAAAACAGACCGAAGATACTTGATCTTTACAAGGTTTTTGCCTTCTATGGTTTTACCGATATTCCATCAAATTTCAGAATTAGGATCTTTGTTAATGTTGGAGTCAAATTCTGAACAGTCATAGGCCAGTTTCGACTGTTGACAAAATTACTCTTGCCTGGAAGTATTCCCTGAATCTTCTTATGCAATTGAGGATAGAGTTTGGCCTTTATAGAATGTTCACTTTTCACTTGAAATCACTCTGAAGCATAGGCTTTTTTAGATATGAAGTTTTTCTTCTAGATCACATATTTTCATGTTTTCCATGAAAGCAAGAGCCTGCTCCTCATGAAATTAGATTCTTAACGCTCACATGCCTTCTGTATAATACTCACGTTTTAAGAAAAGTGGTATACATTTGCAAACGTAAACGATCGGTGAACCAAATTAACTCAGCTATAGTTAGCGTATTTAGAAATTCTTTAACCTAAGCAGTTATTAAGAGTATTAAGCATCAAAAAGAACTGATTAATTAGTTAAGTCGTTATGATAAACCTGTTTTCCTTCGTTTGTAGGTGCGATGAGTTGGAAAAACAAATGAGCAATGGTCAATTGTCCATACAACCCAACCAAATGATTGATCTTTTGGTCGGTAACATAATCAATCGGATGCTTTTTACGGATCGTTTTGAAAAGGTGGGGAGCATTTTTACTGAAATAAAACCTGAAGGGTCTTTATGATTGTTTTCAGGACGAGGAGGCAAAGTTTTTCTCCTTAAAAAGCAAGTTGGACAATATCTTCGATACTTTCGAGCCCTACGATGTGCTCATCAATAGTTGGACTGTTAACATTCCGCTATTCCAACGACGAGCGGAAGCTTTGTTAATGCCGCAAAATGATCTGATCAACTTTCTAAATGAACAAGTTCGTAAAAGGTGAGAGTTGGTGGTTAGAGATCGATTGTTGAGATACTGAAAAGATTTTAACAGACAGAAAGCGATAGCAGAGGGTCGTCACGTCCTCGAAGGAGAAGGAAATGATTTTGTGGACGCGTTTCTGATTCAAATGGAGAAGGATGAAAAATCGGGAACAAAGAGTAGCTTCAAGTAGGTCTTCTCTTCATAAATGCTGCTTTGCGCTAAGGCGGAA